CCCATCTAAAATTTCTGATTCTATCCATTCAACACCCAGTAAATATTGGCCTCTTATAAATCTGGTTAACATGTTCTGTTCAGTGCCTATTTCAACAGCCTCTGGGCTGCAGCTTGCCCCCACCTCCAAAGACATGCAATACACCTTTTCCTCATCCAATAGATCTGGCATCCCTGCAATATCTTTGAAAACAAAGAGGACATACATCTTCTGCAGGAACATAGGTATGATAATGATAACATCTTTCCCTAAGGAGATTCTACTGGCACACTCATGAAGGACAAATAACTGCAATATCTTCTAGTACTCTTTTTTGAGTTCTGGCAAAATAGTCCACATTTTGTAAAATTTCACAAATTTTATGTCCAAACTAAAATCAATAGGCACTCCTATTAGCACCTTCAAATTAAAAAAAAAAAAAGAGTAAACAAAAACTCAGCTTGAGATAGAGGTTCTGGGAATCTTTTTTAATGCTCCTCAAGTCTCTGGACCACTTGTGGTGGCCATTGGTTGCCCATGGCATCTAATGTAAGGAACTGCCCCTCTTGCCCTCCTGCTATTTGCATTATAGGTATGACTGGCCACCTACCAGTTTCTCTTGGAAATAAAGGATCTCACAAACCCTGAGTCTATCACCTCCCATACCCAGCTACCCATTATGCTTTGGGTCATGGAAACACCACCCCACAAGCTTTGCATGAGTACTAAGGCCTCCTTAAGACAGCATGGAGCAGAACATGTGACCTCTGGTATACTCCACCTGCAAGAGACAGTGGCTTCTCCTGTTATCAGCCTCTTACCAAAGTGTCCTCCATGACTACCTAAAAAGTCCCTTGGAATTAACTGAAGAATAATTGGAGTCCTTAGACTAGGGCACTGCTGACTATCATACATGATGAAGTTTAGTGGAGAGTTGCTGCTTTCCATCCACTAGAAACAACCTAAGTAGCCAAACATGGGGTATTCATCTTAGCATTGGAAGCCCTGATCAACAAATGCCCCCATCTCTTACATTTATTATAAACTACTGGGCCATTACCTAAAAATTGTCCCATTCAAGGAAAAACAAAAACCCCTCTGAGAATTTCTTAACTGACAGATACCCAAATGTAAATCAAAATCTCACATTTCCACATACACTTAGGCCATAAAACAAGGCTTTGCCAGGACATCCATTTTCTCTTCAGAGTTAGAAATATGATAGCAGGATCTAAACTTCCAGCAGGAAAAAAAATAACAAAATCAAAAAATTCTCTCAAGTATAGCTAAACAACATTCTGTTAACCATTGGTATTATTACCACTGGCTTGGGTGCTTTACTGGTTTACAACCAGAGGATCACATTAACTCCATTGGGTACCTACTTAAAAAGGATACCCTAATCCCACACCCCTGATGACTTCACCTCAGCCCAATGTATCACTGCTAAAAATGACATCACCCCAGAAAAACATAGCCCCAACTCAGGAACTTGCTGTTGGAGATGGCTTCTCCCATTACACTTAAACCTCTACAAAACAATGCCCACAGACTGTCACCTGAAACACAAAATGGACATAGAATAATTTTGCTTTCCCTCCTGAACTCACTGTCTGCTTGTGCCATGCTCCTGGTACACCAATTGTTCTCAGTTCAAAATTTATTTTTTCTCTGCTCAAATGTATACCTCCATACAGTTCTAGGAAAATCTATATTACTAAAATTAATGGAGATTACTGTTTTCCTTCCCACATATCACCAAACTCACAGCCCAGGAAAGGACCACCTATTCACATGTTGCATTTTCCTATTACACTCCTCCCACTTTCTCCCGTCATCTCATGGTTTGACTCACCAACCACAATCTCTCTTTAGGTGTTGTTATACACAACATCTATTTTTTTTTT